GTCTGGTTATTGAGTAAGAATGAATTAATGGAAGAGATGCTGCTTATCAAGATATATAAGACCCACAAATAGTCAGTCTATATTCGAGGTAAGCAATGGCCACCTGCCTGTAGACCATGACAAAGCAGAAGTTAGTTGCAGGTGCACCAGATGGTGCTGCCGCAATGATCGGGACATATAGAGGATTCATTGTCCATCTAAAAAGTCTTCTCCCTTCTGCTCATACAATTCACTGTGTGGTTCATTGAGAGAACCTAGTGGGAAAGGATTTGGGAAGGCGGTTAGAGGATTCACTGTCAAATGTTAGAATAGTAGTCAACAATATCACTCCGCACCCTTTTCAGGATCGTCTTTTCCAACAGTTGGGTGAAGTGCACAGTGAAGATTTCCAAGTGCCATTTTTTGCATACAGAAGTTAGACGGCTCTCCAAGGGCAACTGTATCCACCGGTTTGTTGCAATCTGGGTCACCAACGTCACTTTACTTTCTGATACTGATTATGAAAGGAAACTGTTAACATCTAAGCCAGATGTGTGGTATGTGGCTGATAATTCCGAAAAACACAACTGGCTCAGTTAAACTCTTCAAGGCAAGTTGAATAATGTTATCTCGAGCAAAGATGCCATTGTTGCTTTTTGTAAAAAGCAGGAAGCGTTTGCTCAAAAGGTGGAACATTGGGAATTTTCACAGTTCCCGATTGATTGTTTTTGCTAGTCATTTATAACAACTCCGAAAAGAAATGAAAGATAGGCTTAATGAGCTGATTAACATTGGAAATACCAATTTAGGTTTTAGGTCCATTTGATGTACAGTCCTGCGATATTGGAGCGGAAATTCAAGTACGACTCATGGCACTTAAAAACTACACAGTAGCAAGCTCTAAATTCATGCTGTTTAAAAAGGATTTTTAGATAGAGTAATGCCCCAGATTGTGATAAACAGCTAAAATATATTCCATTGCTTTTCCATTCACATACGTGTTTGGATGTGGATTGAACAGACTGGTTTCTTTAACAAAAAGTAGAAACAGTTTGAACATCACAGTAAGAAGAGATGCTCGGCTCTCGCTGTCAAGTCATGGAGACGAACATAAGCAAGCTTGCTCGAGGGCATCAGGTTCAAGGCTTGCATTAATTTCTGGACAAATATATGTTTACAAAGTTACTACACATAGTTCATGACATGTCTTACAGTTAAAAACCAACAATAAGTAAACACAATTTTAAAAATTAATGGTGACTTTTGTGTAATTACAAACAAGTGGCTTGATGTTGCCGCACAATAAATGTTATCTTGAGGCAGCGAAATTAAAAAGAGAGGTTCATAGGGATAAAGCAGTGATACCATCAGCATTAAATTATCAATCATAAAAGATATCAATATGACTACCGGAAACCACAGATTCACATTTACAGCGTTGCGGATTGTTGAAATTGTGGTGATCACATGTGGGGGCCATGAAAAATGGAAAGGTTCAATTGGGGGTCACGGTTGGTTAAAGGTTCAGAATGTTTGGTCTAGTCTATTGGTTGCTGTTTCAGTGCTTTGAAAAGGTATGCAAGAGATAGATGACTACACAAACAGGGAGGAAATGTTTGGGGTTATACATGATCGCACATCCTTTTTGCTGATTTTTATTCGTGGTTGAAGAGACGGTCGTTAATGAGCAGGACGCTTTGGCAGCTGGCCAGAACACTGAAATATGCAAGCTTGGCCAACAAAGAGCTCTCTCAGTTTTTAAAAATGTTTTCTCATGCCTCATTTCAAAGCAGTTATGACTTCATGAGCAAAATCAGCAATGCGCAAATTAAGAGCTGTATCTCGTGTAAAGTGCTTCTGGTCAGGAATTCCGATGGCTTCTGCGTCTGCAATGCAATGCAACTCTTAGGCAGTTGGATGAAGTTACCACACTCACTTAGTAAGAGACCACATTGGATGTAAGGTTTGCATGGCTAACATCTCTTAGCAAGCTAGATGTTGTCACAACTGCCAGGGAAATCTAGACTGAGCTGAGTGGATGGTGAGAACAGACACGTTTGATAACTGTGAACGAAACTGAAGGGAATAGAGAAGGGGCAACAACCACGGCCATGTAATCGTGGCATAACGATCGTCTTTCCTTACGGATCGCTGCAAGATCACTCCCGGACCCTCTACATCCCGAATAGACTACTATATAATCAACGGAATGCGACAGTATTTACGTCAGTACAAATAGTCCAAATGCCAAAATATTCAAAAATGCTGTATAAAACGGATAAATTTAACAATAGCTAATATCAACATGATTTTCCAATGAAAACGCCAACGACACATTTGGAGGCCCCTTTTTGGTTAGTTAACCGGAAATAACCTAGTTTCAACATTACTGATTGAATACTTTCGCATCTTAAGGCATTCAGGGGCATGCAACGAGACGTGGAAGAAAGAGTGAGGCTACCCAGAGAGTTTTAAGTTTAGCCCGTGAGTTTGTGATTAGTTGCTAAAACTCAAACACACCATTTGCCTAATGCAACTAACTCATCTCTTTCAGGTCGAGAATTGAGCTACCGTAGGTGCACGGAATGTGAAAAGCATGTTTCATGTTCCAAAGTGGACCTTGAAATGCGGTAGACAACTGATGGGTATAATCTGATGTTGTCTGAGTCAACTACATTCCAAAAATAATCTCATAATGCTTCAACGCCACTGACGGCAATCACTGGGCTGGTTTCTGCCTACCCGTATCCTTGGAACCGTGTGAAGCGGTGGCTTCACCAACAGCAATATGAAACACTACGAAAGAATATGTAATGAAATCGATGCATCCTTTTAAGACTATAGAAGATAGCATGTTCGGAAAGAATACTTTGCTCGTTGCTTGCTGGAATAACCTTGTGTAAGGCTGAGCTATCCGTAACAGTTGAATTTTTGGAGGAAAATACGAATAAGCTGAGGACTGCATCCGTTTTTTTTCGTCACATAATTGTGGTTTCGCTCTTCATCATTCAGAGTAGAAGGTGTGAAAACGCGGACAACTCCGCTTAGCTGTTCCAGTATCTCCCATGTTTATCGTTACTTTTTGTGTATCATTAAGATTTTAACATGTATACGCTTGAAGTGGTGCAGTTCTTTGTCTACATTATCCAACAAAGCGTTTATTGTGATTTAGCTTTGCATTAGAGGACTTAATGAGTCTGCTTAGTCGTTTGTGTCACTGTGAAAAACCTAACAAAATGGAGGAAAAATGCCTCCACTGGAAGGCGTATCAAAGCGGATATGGATACAACTATTTAACTGTTTACCAAACCTCGATGCATTCTTGCCACAGAGTAAAATTAAGTCCTTAGAGGAAACATTTTCCCATACTTAGTAAGGTTCCGAGTAACCCATTATTTCCACCGGAAAATATCATTTCTGCAATAGCCAAAGGTTACAAAACGTTCATTTTGCTGTACATATTGAGTTATGACGTTACGGGAACGTAATCAGAGCTCCTAATATGTACTCGAGTACGTACAGGAGATATCTTCACGTTCTCAAATTCCAACTTTAGGGTTGTTCCTGTGCTTGTTGATGATCGTACGATATAAGACATAAGATGTAAAACAAGTGATGTTGCTTTTGGTAGCTAGCATTTTATCATAAGTGGGTTAATGTCCAACTACTAAAGTGACCGCCTCGATTCTGCTGCATACTAATTGGATGATTAGAGATAGGCTGTGTCTGCGTCAGGTGTACACTGCGCTATTGGAGTCTGAATAGTCCAGGGAAACGAGGTAGTTGTGCCGACTAACCAAAGATTTGCGCTAAACATAGACAGCATACTAGCTGACGGGTGGCTATCGAGAAAAGAAGGTAGGAATTATCTGGTGGCATGAGGTCATGACAGTGAACTCATTAGATTGCCCTGAAGTTTCTGTTCCGTTTTGAGGGAAGGTGTTCTGAGGTGACTCCAGAATGGGAGAGTCACACGTGTAGGTTCGGCTAAGGGCGGTACTAATGCTGCCATTTACATTAAGTGATCCGCGCGGGTCAAATTCGAAACATTGGGAGCGATAAATAGCGCTTATTGAACGTTTTAGCGAGTGTGAGCACGCCAGTACACGATGAGGTTGCAAGAGCGAATTCGAGTGAGGTAAACGAGCGAAGAATGTGCGACATCATAGAATAGTGAATCGCGCACGGCAAAATCTAGAGTTTATACTAAATGAAGCCACAGAAAATCAATTCAAGCATGCAAAACCTGAACTGTAAAGCAATGTTTAATTAGTGTACATTAGTATATAATCCCCAAAAACTGGCAAAGCATAATGGTAAACCCAAGAAAAGTGTTCGGACACCTGAAGGCATGAAAACAACTTCATAACTTTTAGAATCCGTCTCCCAAAACTCTCCTCTGAATGCTATACTGCTTACATTCTTGAGCCCAATAAAGTTGTCATTGATTGGGGTTTCGATATTGTTTAACTTGCCTTCAACTACAACTACTGAATTGTTATTTGTCCAATGCTAGCCTGACAACGGTTAATGCAAATAACTGCAGTTTTTAAATAAATAACTCGATTCCTACATTATCTGTATCTTATCTCCTTTGTGTATCTGATGATCCGTCCTGACCTGGGAATAGCCCTCTGCGTTGTCTTGAGATAGAATATTTACTTATTCCTAAATCTAGATACTTGAAAGCAAGGTGTATTTCAGCCACAAGTGAATTTTACACACGTAATAATTTGATCACACAATTCGTAGATATACCCTAACCCGGTTAGCTAGGCAAATACTGATTGTGAGTACTGAGCCCGGAAGTGTTGGTTGCAATCTCTCAAAGCAAAATCTCCCGGAAGCGTATTAACTCCTCTGAAACTGGTGATAACATCGGCAATGACCTTCATACGTAATATACATGTTATGTGAAAGACAGAGATGGTTTTTGTCCATTTATCTTGCTGACATGTGTCGTATACTCAAATCGACAATCTTTCATTCAGTTGTCAGGTGTGGAAGGTATGATAACATCAATGACTGATTTCTTTCCCTCCGTGGCGCTGAAACCCCGAAACCGAGCTGTCTTCATTGCTTTTTCTTGTGCTGTCTGCTACCTGGTCGGACTTCCAATGGTAACAGAGGTGAGCGAAATGGGGACTGCCGTACAACTTCTGTGCTTACTCTCTAAGTACTTTGATGCGAACGCATTCATAATCATTACCTGAGGCAGCCGCATACGAAAATCAGAGGGCTTTGCTCACCGAGGCAAGTTATCAGGGTTTCATTAGCACCTACCTGTGGAGACATTCCGAATGATTCTCACGAATTTACTGTAGGACTTAAGAATAATTTTACACAAACTGATTGTGCGAAGAGTAGAAGTGAGCCCAAATCACAAGTTTAATACTCCTTTTTTTCTCTCTTCCTCTGAATTCATTGGACTGACTAAATACTTTCCTACATCTTCATGGCAAGACAGTCAGAGTTGCGAGTTCCTGGAGGCATCTAATAACCCACGTTTTATAACAATTAGCAAGAGATGTGACCTGGCGTGATCTTCTGAACCTAATTAATCTATTATAAGTTTTATACACTTGAAGCCTTTGTGTTATGTAGGCACCAGAGCGTGATCAGAACATGGCGAAACTATAGTCTTCTTCATGTCTTGCCCTCGTATGCATTTCTGTTTAACTTCAGCATCAACCAAATTTTTGGGTGCAGTTGCGTGCCTATTAAGGGCAGTAGATTTGAAGGCGCTTGAGGCGACACCGCATCATATGGCATTTATATACCACCCACTTTTATTTTCAACTTCAAGTAGGCTCATAATTGTTCCACCTTGTAACACGTCGTTGATCCCAGAGTGAAATTTGTTTGGCGATCTGCAAGGAGGAGCCAAATCAACACACTCGGTATACTCTTCGGTCAAACAGACAATTCCGATGTGCCATGCTCTAGCAGTCCCTGCTGTGCCGGCCGCATGAAGTGAAGAAAAAGAGGAAGAAGAACAAAAAGAAGGCAAGATGGATTAAGAAATGTAACAACGTTGGAGTGCAAATGGAAACTTATAAAGGACTAAGCATCAACAAATAAGAGCAGGGCTAATATAAGACCAACGGCATCAAGTCGATGTTCGAACTGTTTCACCGTTGATGCTGTCACAACTTCAGGGGGCAGCGCATTCAAAGAGTCTATACCTGGCGTCCTAACCGGGAATCAGTCCCAACAGGGGCAGAAAGGCGTTTGAGCGACTTCAGTGGATGGCCGCGGAGAGAAGGCACCTGAGTGTGATGGAACAGATAAATCAGCTCCGATCTGACCTGTTATTATTCTATATGTGAGGACTAGGTCACACCGAAATCCCCTGCAGTACATAGAAACCATGTCCAACTTTCGTAACCTCTCAGGGTACGACAGCTTATTGACTTGATACACCATTTTCGTCTCCGACCGTATGACACCTTCAATCGCCAGACTAGAGAGGGGGACAAGCCTGTACGTAATATTCTAACTGTGGCCTAACCAAGGCTGAAAATAATCTTGCAAACTTTTCCGTTGTCACGATTCCGATTGGTCTGCGGGTCATCCATAACATGCCAAAACCTTTGTGAGCAGCTGCCGACTCAATGTTCACTGGACTTAAACTTAGATCACAGCAAGAAGCCTAGGTCAGCTTGATGTCACACCTGCGGTACTTCATTATCCCCAAGTAGATGGTCCGTCGGTGGGTCATTTGATCCTACTCGCAAAAAGGAACAAGTAGCGAGGTTTATGGGCAGCTGCCACAAAAAGGACCAGCCCCATAGCCTAGCTAGAGATCTCTGTAGTTCCAGTAGACCACTAGATTCCTTCATTTTGAGCCAGAACTTCAGGTCTTCTGCGAGAATTAGAGATGGCACTCCCAGCTTGTCGGGTAAGTCATTACCGAACAAGATGAATAGAAGGGGGACCAAAGACCGACCCTTGCGTGACACCGCTTTGAATAAACTGACTTAAAGACCGGCTGCGGCCCACAAGAATACACGTCTCCCTTCCGGTAAAAAAAACCGAAATCATTTTCAAGATTGGGTCCTAGATACCACAAGTCTACAGCGTGTACAAAAGACGAGAATACGAAAGAGTGTCAAAAGCTTTGGAGAAGTCGATGAACAAGTCCTCAAGGTCTTTTTCTTGATCAACCGCATCGGTCCAATGTTGATGGGCGACTAACAACTTGGTTAACCAAGAATAGCCCTTACTAAAGCTGCGTTGAGAGGGGCTGAACAAGCCAAACACCATTAAATAACTTTTAAGGGCATCCCTCACTAGTTTTCCCAGGGGCTCGACAAACAAGTGTGTTAGATTAACAGATTTTTAATTATCAGGGAAGTGTTTGTTATCTTTTTAAAATACGGGAATACCACGGCATTTTTTCCAGTCGTGAGGTAGAGGACAGCTGCTCAGTGACTTCTCAACCATCGCGTAATTGGACAACAAAGTTCCTCTGCCAACTCATACAACACTTTGTGGTGGATGACATCTAATCTTGCAGCTCTCCTAGAAGCTTGAGCACTATGGCCTCCGAGATAGAAACCTTCTCCAGATAAGCGTCTACAGGAGCCTTTACCTTCAAACCTATGTGCAACAGGTGGGACTCTCGGACAAATAAGCATGTATCCTGTTCCCCAAACTAAGAAATCTTGTCAAGATCAATGACAGCAGCAAAGCCGTCAGGACTGAACAACACCGGAATGGACGGGCTCACGCTGTTTTGCTTTTTGTTGTAATCAAAGAAGCGTTTTGGATTTGCTGAGGATGTGCAAGCAAGCTCGATTTCATATTGTAACCGAGCACTTCGCAGATACTGCCTGCATGCATTTTGAACATCTCGGTACCTTGGGATGTTGCATGCCGAAGGAGCTGACACATGGGCCCGACAACATCTGGTCCGAATCTTAAGCAGCTTTCGTGCCGCTAAATCAAACCAGAATGGCCTGGCTTCAGTTATATTCCTCACAAAAATTTGTATGTGTAGTAGAGACAACCCAGATAACTAGTGCTTGAAGGTGTCCCAGGCTGCCTGTATAGTATCGGTGAGATGGCGGCCTATGCTTTTATTGCTTGAAAATCGATACGCCATATGTTTGGTCCTTTGGTTGTGCGGTTATTGAATACTAGTTTAAGAGGGCACTTGAACGATAAGCATGCATAGTTATTGACAAAGTTCATTGACTTGGCGAAGACCAGATCCAAGAGTGACGGTACTTGACCCAACATGAACCTGGTTTGCCGATCAATAAACTGGGGTAAGGGAACAAGCAGGGCTAGATCTAGAAGCTGAATGGCAAGACCACCTGCAGCAGCAGCACAGAAGAGATTATGCCATTCAACGTTTGAATGATTGACATCCTCATACTAAACATCTATTGGTTGTGTGAGCACAGATGAAATCAACCAGATCCTTTGCAACGCCATCGGGGCTTCTATAGACCAGCACAGCATGAGAGATACGCAAATTAACCGCAAATGTCGCGGAGTAATTCCCTGGGGAATGGAATATAAACCCTTTGTAAATAATAAACACAAAGTTAACGTGTAAAGCAACGACGAGCAGAAGCGAGGTCACACCTCAGCAGTTCGTAGCCTGGTAATCCAGCTTCACCGTTTGTGATGTCGTCAGACGATCAAGTCTCAGGTAACACAAGACTATCTGGACGATAGTCATGGACCATGGCGCCGACCTGGCACAAATTGTTTCTCAGGCTATGTAGGTTGCTGAAGAGTACCTTAAGAAATCTGATATTGGGAGCCGCGGGTAGTGTGCTACCAGAACGGGAGACGGTAGGACGGAAATGGCCCGTCGGCCTACCACCCGAAGACCCTCCAAATGGAGACTCTTTACCTCCACTTCTCGACGGGTCTTAAGCTCTCTAACAGCTTCACTAAATTTCAACATATACACCAGAGAAAGGTCTGATGGCAAAACGACACCAGTGCCCATGAGTCTAAAGTCCAATCGCAGGAGAGCCTGGCGTTCCTCTGGTGTGGACAGAACAACCCGCAGTAGGCGAGGTTAAGGCTGGATCCGTCGACTGGCAAACTAACGAGTTTAGTAAGTTTTTCACAGTGATCCTGGGAAACCCCGGCGGCAGTAGCTTAGTAACGCAAACATTGAACCACTGAAGGTCATCTAGCATACGATCTCTTGGGAGAGCAGCGGAGGGCTCAGTGGCATTCCTGAAAATAACACTGCAGTCGGTGCACGAGTCACTGCGACGCGAGGTATTTCCATCACGCGACACGGCACAGGTGCTTGTGGTTTCGCGTCTGTTTGTATAGACTCTAAGATTGTACTAGACTCTTCCTGCGAAGATGGGACAGCGGTGGTTTAGTTGGGGTACAATGGACATGGGGGAAGGGAAATATGCTTTTAGCTTCCTTGAATTAAGCCTTCTTCCGCTTTTTCTTGACAATCGCCGAGCACTGCGCTTTACCCTCATTAACAGCTTAATCAAAGACGCTATCCGAGTGTCCAATATTAACTGGCATATTATTGGTAGGCTAAGAACACGTCGGGGTTTCCAAGGCTGTCAAATTACCCAGACCCCTTATTGTACCCTTGCTGGGTAAGCCTGAGCTGTCCAGTCGCTTTACAGTCCACTAGACTTTCCCGTTTAGAGAAGTCAACAGAGACGGAAGGGCATCCAGAAAAAGATGACTGCCTTTTGCTAGTGATTATCTTTCAGCCATACAATCTGCGAAATCTCTACAGCTGTAGAGAAAATTTTCGTTGCTAGCTGAAAGAGCATAATGCTTCTGACCCTATCTAGTACCTGACTCATGGAACCACGGATTACAGATATTACAATACAAGCCTCTCGACGGGTCAGTAACTTCTTTGAGACAGCCCGCTTTGACACACATAACCACCGAGCCAACTGAAAGAAACCCGGGGATCCAGGAAGGCTCTTTCCGACCATCGTAATAGAAGAGCATAAATGAGAAGGGAAAGTCAAGCAAATATGAGAGAAGAAAGAGATTCGTAAACGGGTTGACGGCTACCAACTATGCAGTAGACGAGAGCTTTAGTCGGAAAGACCGAGAGTAACACGTTCGTACTGGTATGGCCTCACTCGACCGCACAAGATGGGAGCTGGTAGTT